ACAGCCTGACGGACCCTGTAGTTCTGTGGGACTCAATGCAGCTCAAGAATCGATTGATGAACGCCCAACAGCAATACAGAATTTCATCTCGCAGGAGACACTAGAAACCACAGAAGCTTGTTGTTGCAGCTCGTCTGACAGGGATCGGGATTTCCATCGTTCCAGGCGTATAGGACTCGGTCATTGCTGAGAAGGGACAAGGAACAGTATTATTAGGAGTTTGCAAAGTAAATGACCGTCTTGCATACCAAGCCCTGAGAGAACCGAACTCCAAGCTCTCTTCATTGACTTCAGGTGACTGCAGCCCACTCAGAAAGTGGCCAGATCGTCTCAGATCCTGGTGCGGGAGCGTTGGGCTGCAAGGCTGTATCCACCAACAGTTAATTTAGATGCGGTTAGTGCCGAGATTCCGTTGCCGGAGCCACCATCAGTAAGGATACCCTCCTTAACCGAAGTTAGAGGGCAATTTCAAAGTTGAAGAGTGGCAGCAGGAATCTGCGGCATCCCAGCTGAACCATTAAAGGTTTGTGGTGGACCTCTGGCTCGGAGCTTGCATGCTGTCCTGGATGCCATCTGGCAGTCTGGTTCCGTTTCCCTGAGGGGTGTGGGTCATCCTTCTCTGGAAGGGGAAAGGGGATCAATGGAACTGCAGCAATCACACTGCTCAGTATACCCTGCATGGTTCTCACTCACATCCTTCTAAGACGTATCAAAGACCATCTGCTAAGGCACTAGATGCTGGAGCAATCTGGATTCACTCCTGGTAAGTCCACAATAGACCGTATCCTGGCGCTTCGAGTCATTGTAGAGCGCCGTCGTGAGTTCGAATGCGGGCTGATCGCAGCTTAGATCGATCAAAAAGGCGTTGATACGGTGTATCAGGAATCACTCAGATTGAGAGGAATTCCAACAAGGATTATTGAACTAATAGCAAGCCTGTATACTGTTACTGAAAGTGCTGCAAGGGTTGTATCCTTGCACCAAAACTTTTCAACACTTGTATGGATGGGATTGCGGAGAGCTACGGTCAAAAGTCATTGTGAACTCTGGGCAATATCAAGGTTCTGACATTGATTTTGCTGATGTTGCTTTTCTATCTGAGTCCTTGGGAACCCTAGTGGTATCTCTGGATACATTTAGCAATGAAGTGAAGCACCTGGGTCTAGAGGTTTCTTGGACCAGACCCAAGATCCAAGATTTTGGAGACTTGCTAGGAGAGCCCGTTCGGTCGGTATGTGCTTGAGGCGACAGGACATCGAAGTCACAGAGAGCTTTTCATACTCTCAGACCAGGAAGTCAGTTAGACAGAATGGCCTGGCAGCAGGGGTCTTGAACTCTGTCGACAAGAGTATTTGGAGATACCGGTACCTGTGCAGGAGGACCAAGTTATGCGTTTCCAAGGCCCTGATAATGACAGTTTTACTACCATGGCAGTGGAAAGCGGACATAATTTTTGGATGGACGCGTAGGTTTTGCAGAGGCGCAGTACATCGGATCGTGGAGACTGGGCCGTGGCACAGTACCTGTGATCGTGATCGTGGCTTGGGCAGGTCGATCAAACCTACCGTGTGGAGCTTGAAATGGGCCGAGTCCCTGCCTGGCGGTCATGAGGGACCCCCGCGGGTGGAAGCGAAGGGTCAATGGGCTTTGCGCCCCCGTCGGTGTTAGCTTCGAATGATGATGATAAAAGTCATGGCAATAAAGGAAAATGATAATATTGATAATGTTCATGATGATACTAGTAATAATGATAATGGTAATAATAATAGTAATGATAATGATAATGATTAATTAACAACAAAATAATAATGATATAATAATAATAATACCAATAGTAATAATGATAAGGATAATAACAATAATAATGATAGTGATAATGACGCTAATGATAGTGATGATGATGATGATGATGATAATAATAATAATAATAATAATAATAATAATGATAATAACAATGATGATAATAGTCATAGTGATAAAAGTGATAAAAATAATAGTGATAATAATAATGAAATCATATACTAATGATAATGATAATAATAGTGATAACAGTGAAAATGATAATGATGAATGAATAACAACAATAATTAATAATGTTGATGACGATGATGTTAGTAATAATAAGAAGAAATAAAGAGCAGTGCAACTATATGATTGGTATGAATAGTTACTAAGATAGTGATACGGTATCGGTAGAGATATCAGGAATGACGCTGCTCATTCTACGGGATATGGATGATGCTGAGATAAAAAAATAAAGTATAAGCATCGCAAAAATATATTGATAAAAAAATCCTTTTCTTTTCTTCGCTGCATCACAGATAGTATGAGCTTTCATCACATATACGGGTTCTGGGAAGCGGCAGCAGAAAGGGAAAGGAAAAAAACAAAAACGAAAAAGTCCTATTTTCAAAGACAGGTCAAAAAAATCCCTCTCGCGCCTTTCCCTTCCGACCCCCTTCCCCTCACCTTCTCCTCCCTCTCCCTCCTCCCTTCAGTCTCCGTCGCTCCCACCCCCTTCCTCCCTTCCCTTCCCCACGCCTTCTCCTCTCTCTCCCCTTCCCTCTTTTCCCTTGCCTCCTCTCTCTTCTCCCATTCCTTCCCCACTTCTCTTCGCTACTCTCTCCCCATCTCCCTTTCCTCTCTCCTCTCCTTGCCTTTTCTCTCCTTCATTCCCTCCCCTCCTCTTTCCATCTCCCTTTCCTCTCCCCTCCCCTCCTACTCTCTTCCCTTCGTCTTCGCTATCCCGGCCTCTCCTCCTTTCCCCTCCTCTTCATTCTTCCGTCCCTTCCTCCCTTGCCTCCCTATCCTCCCCCGCCCCTCCCCACCTCTCCATCTTTCGCCCCATTAGGATCCAATCGGACAATAAAAGTGATCGTGTCAGAGGAACAACAGGGCAACATCGGCAGGAGGATCCAAACCTCTTCGCGGTGAGTGAGTGTGTGTCATGGCGGGAAAGGGGCTACGAGCGCACTGTGGCAGTCCACAGATTTTTCTTTTGGATTTCTGAGTACGCATACTATCTGATTCATTTTGTAGGTTGGTAGACTTTTATATACATTATATAATTCATTGTTAATTTTACGTTTGATTTCTCAACATAATGGTTATTAAAATTATCAAAACAATGATTGTTTATCCGATGATTATGAACGTAAATTAACATACAAATGTTAGTAAGACTGCATCCGATCATAAACCAGACTGCCTTTGGCTTATGTCTTTAAGCTTTACCGTTCGAGTCTTGGTGTGTGAATGCAATTCATATCACCCTCGTATTTGTTACCAACGGCACCGATTTTACAGTAAATTGAGAAACCAT